TCCAGCTCTATTCTGATTGATTGATGGATTGAGCAGGGGGTTGGACTAGAAGACCTCCAAGGTCCCTTCCAGCTCTATTCTGATTGAGTCACGCATCGACTATATCACGGCAGCGATTCACTTAACAACTGGGACAAGGAAAGTTGCAAAACGGGGGGGCAAAAGCTCACTTAACAAATGCCTGGTTCCCCTTGCAGGAATTCCACACTCCATTGTGTGGGAAGAGAGGGAAGAATTTCCTCTCTGCTCATGGAGAAAAGTGGTCGCGATGTGCTTTTTAACGTTTTTTCGCCACAGGCTAAATAGACAAATCCCCTTAGCAGCGATGCCTTCAGGAAAACTGGGAGTGTTGTAAAGCAGGGAGAACTGTGCGGCTCTACCACGTCAAGCCACTGTGGGGAAAGTTGGCAAAAGACCCACCGTAATTTCTACCACCATTTTCTTCCTCCCCAAAGTTTCTGTCTCGGCACAAAATTGGGGAGAATCCGTTTCCTTCTTTAAAGCTTCTTCTTCGTCCTTTTATCATCAAAGATGTTTTTTCCCTTCCTGTAACTCCCTCCTTTTTATTGGCAACCATTCCACTTGGCGTGTTTGAGTAGTCCTCGACTTACGATGGTTTGTTCAGTGACCGTTCAAAGTCACAACGGCATTGAAAAAAAGGGGGTTATGAATGTTTTACACTTACGACCGTCCCAGCGTCCCCGGGGGGTGGATGGGTGTCACCTGAACTAAATCCTTGGCAACTGACTCACATTTATGACGTGGTGGGGGTCACGCGATCCCCTTTTGCGACCTTCTGACGATCAAAAGTCAATGGGGGAGACAGATTCGCTTAGCAACGGCAGTGATTCATTTTAACAGCGGTGCAAAGAAAAGTCGTAAAACAGGACAAACCTCACTTATAGCTGTCTTGTTAGCTGTGGAAATTTGGGGCCTCAGTTGTCGTAAGCCGAGGACTAGCCGTATATCTCCTTCCAATCTACAGGTAGTCCTCGAGTTACAATGGTTCATTTAGTGCCCATTTAAAGTTACAGCGGCACGGGAAAAAAACCGACTTATGACCGTTTTTCACGTGATCAAAATCCAGGCGCTTGCCAACCGACTCGCATTTACGGCGGTCGCGGTGTCCCAGGGGGGATGACGTGCTCCCCTTTCGCGACCTTCTGACCCGCAAAATCAATGGGGGAATCCAGATTCACTTAACGACCGCCTGAGTAACTTAACCACTGCAGGGATTCGCATAGCAAAAAAGGGGCAAGAAAGGATGCAAAATGGGGCAAAAATTCATTTAACGACCATCTCGCTTAGCAATGTAAATGCTGGGCTCCATTGTGGTCGTAAACCGAGGACTAGCTGTGCACTTATGTACTGGGAAAAGTACAGAAGTGACACAAAAAACACTTTTGTTTTATAAGCACAAATGTTATTGTTTTATAAGCACAAATATTAATTGTTTTATAAGCACATATATTATTGTTTTATAAGCACAAATATTACAGGATGTCCAGGAGAAATGTGAGGGTTGCACATCCTTTTCCCCCAGCGACACAAGATGGATTTTTCCCCGGGCTGCCTGCTCCTCACCAACCCTCCCAAAATGATCCCTTTTCCACCCCTGACCTTTCTGCCTTCCTAGGCTACCTTGTTCTGCGGGATCTGGGCATCCAGGTGGAGAAATACATCGCTTCGGAGATCTGCGAGGACTCCATCTCAGTGGGCACCGTGCGTCATGAAGGAAACATCCGATACGTGCATGATGTCCGGAACATCACCAAGAGACACGTAAGGAATCCGGCATTCGAGAGGAAAATGCCTCAAGGAAGGCCATTTATTGGAGGGTTAGTTAGTGGTGGGAGTCAAAACAGGCAGCAGCCTAGCATCCCTTCATAGTCACAAGCAGGCTAAACGTCTATGGGGATTCTCAGCCATGTAGGCCCTGATTGTCCCAAAGGTGCTTTTTTCAAGAGGCAGCTGGACTTTCTTCTTGGAGAGGTTTCGCCTCTCATCCGAGAAGCTTCTTCAGTTCTCTGTTTATACTCCGTGCAGACAGCTGGTCATTTGCATCCTTCTAGAGTGTCAAATAGCAATAATAGCAATAGCAGTAGACTTATATACCGCTTCATAGGCCTTTCAGGCCTCTCTAAGCGGTTTACAGAGAGTCAGCATATTGCCCCCAACAATCTGGGTCCTCATTTTACCCACCTCGGAAGGATGGAAGGCTGAGTCAACCCTGAGCCGGTGAGATTTGAACCGCTGACCTGCTGATCTAGCAGTAGCCTGCAGTGCTGCATTTAACCACTGCGCCACCTTGGCTCTTCAAACTGTCAAACTCCAGAGGCCCCCGGGGTGTGTGTCTGTGCGCTTAGATCTGGCCAGTGGTGATATCTAATACCCCCACGTCAAAATTGGTTTTGTGGCGTGGCTACAATTTAGAGCCCAAAGACTTACAGCCGTGATAACGCAAGCTCAGCTACCTTTGTAACATGAGGACTAGTTGCTTTTAAAAAGAAGGAAGCGGGGATGGAGGCTGTGCTGTAACCAGGGTCTCCCTTGCAGATCGACAAATGGGGTCCCTTCGATTTGGTGATTGGCGGAAGTCCCTGTAACGATCTCTCCATCGTAAACCCCGCCAGAAAAGGTTTGTATGGTAAGCGGAGGGATTTGAGATCTGGTTTTTTTGGGGGGTGGGGAGCTTGGATCGGATTTCGGGGCACTGAGCTCTTCTTCTGACCCTCCCCCCTTTTTTTCTTGACCCTCCTGGCCAACAGAAGGGACCGGCCGGCTCTTCTTCGAGTTCTACCACCTCCTGAATTACACCCGTCCCAAAGTTGGAGAAGACCGGCCGTTCTTCTGGCTCTTCGAAAATGTGGTCTCCATGCGGGTCAACGACAAAAGGGACATTTGCCGCTTCCTGGAGGTAAAAAAAAAACAACTGCCCTGGGTGGGTCGGAGACCAAGAAAACGGGGGGGGAGAGGGGGGCTGCCGTGAAGTCTTTGTCCTGTGCAGCCGGCAGGCGTCTTCCTGAGACGGGAACGTCAGACGATGGTTAGTGTAAACCAGGGTTAGCTGGGCAATTTTGGGAGCTGTGGTCCAGGCGGCTTAGGAGAGAGCAAATAAGAATAGAATAGAATAGAATAGAACAGAAATAAGAATAGAAATAAGAATGGAATAGAAATTATAGAAAAGAATAGAATTGAAATGCAATAGAAAGAATAGAATAGAAATTATAGAAAAGAATAGAATAGAAATAAGGACAGAATAGAAATAAGAATAGAATAGAAATTATAGAAAAGAATCGAATAGAAATAAGAATAGAAATTATAGAAAAGAATAGAATTGAAATAAGAATGGAATAGAAAGAATAGAACAGAAATAAGAATAGAAATAAGAATGGAATAGAAAGAATAGAATAGAAATTAGACTAGAATAGAATAGAAATAAGAATAGAATAGAAATTATAGAAAAGAATCGAATTGAAATAAGAATAGAATAGAAAGAATAGAATAGAAATTAGACTAGAATAGAATAGAAATAAGAATAGAATAGAAATTATAGAAAAGAATAGAATAGAAATAAGAATAGAAATTATAGAAAAGAATCGAATAGAAATAAGAATAGAATAGAAAGAATAGAATAGAAATTAGACTAGAATAGAATAGAAATAAGAAGAGAATAGAAATTATAGAAAAGAATAGAATAGAAATAAGAATAGAATAGAAAGAATAGAATAGAAATTAGACTAGAATAGAATAGAAATAAGAAGAGAATAGAAATAAGAATAGAATAGAAATTATAGAAAAGAATAGAATAGAAATAAGAATAGAATAGAAAGAATAGAATAGAAATTAGACTAGAATAGAATAGAAATAAGAATAGAAATTATAGAAAAGAATCGAATAGAAATAAGAATAGAATAGAAAGAATAGAATAGAAATAAGAACAGAATAGAAATAAGAACAGAATAGAAAGAATAGAATAGAAATTAGACTAGAATAGAATAGAAATAAGAACAGAATAGAAATAAGAATAGAAAGAATAGAATAGAAATTATAGAAAAGAATAGAATAGAAATAAGAATAGAAATTATAGAAAAGAATCAAATAGAAATAAGAACAGAATAGAAAGAATAGAATAGAAATTAGAATAGAATAGAATAGAAATAAGAATAGAATAGGAATAGAAAATACAAGAGAGCTGGAAGGGACCTTGGAGGTCTTCTAGTCCAACCCCCTGCTCAAGCAGGAGACTCTAGACCAGTGTTTCTCAACCTTAGCGACTTTAAGTCCTGTGGCCTTCAACTCCCAGAATTCCCCATCCAGCTGGCTAGGGGATTCTGGGAGTTGAAGTCCACAAGACTTCAAGTCGCCAAGGTTGAGAAACACTGCCCTAAACCATTTCAGACCAGTAACTGTCCAGTCTCTTCTTGAAAGCCTCCAGTATTGGAGCAGCCACAACTTATGGAGGCAAACCATTCCTCTGTTTAATTGTCCTCACTGTTAGGAGGAAGTTTCTCCTTCATTTCAGGTTGCTTCTCTCTACGATTAGTTTCCACCACCTGTTGCTTCTTCTGGTGTTTTGGAGAATAGGTTGACCCCTCCCTCTCCTTTGGGGCAGCCCCACCAAGTCCTGAAGGCTGCTATACTGGAATCCTTCACCTGATTTTGATTCTGTGCCTCTGTTTATGCAACCAAGGATTGTATTGGCTGACTCCTGTTTAAGGGATCGTCCACTAAGACTCCAAGATCCCAGTGACGGTTTTTGAGCCAGGTTTTTGCCTAATCTGTCCTGCTACCTTTGATTTTTCCCTGCCCAGGTGTAAAACCTGCCTTTGGTCCACCTTAAATTTCATTTTGCAGAGAGGAGGAGGAGGAGGAGGACTGTGGGGTCCGTGGTGCTCTCTGAGCCGAGTAGTTTTCTTGCAGACCTTTCACGACCCAACTAGGGAACCTCATCAGTGCTAAAACCGCCCTTTCTTTTCTCCGCAGTGCAACCCGGTGATGATCGATGCAGTCAAAGTATCTGCTGCGCACAGAGCCAGATATTTTTGGGGCAACCTGCCAGGAATGAACAGGTGAGGGAGAAGTGGACATCCATATATAATAAATGAGATTATTATTATTATTAAATTTGATTGAATGTAATTACAATTAATTTTATTAGCTTTATTTGTATCAGAATGTATGACACCTGGGTGCCACACTGTCCACCGATTGATATATATATATATATAT